AGGTGTAGGGGTTATGGCTTACAATATGTATTTTAGGGGGCACACAGTTCAATCCCTAACACTTCCCTAATTTTGTCTCTGTCCAACAGCTTCTATATGCATGGTACAGGATACGCTGGGCTTTATTCTCATGGTGACTGGACTTTTTAAATTATCCTGTAGGAGGGAAATTGTTTAAAGGTCTTTGGAAATCTAAACAAAAGACCCTCCTTGGTTACTTTTCTCTCACACACATATACAAAGGCGCTTCTAAAAAGTTCATGGAAAAATTCTGTTATCTTTTTATTCCGCTTTTTCATGATCCTGGGGTAACTACGGTCCCTTCATCAACTCCCTGAGGTTTCTCCCCACAATTGTCTAGCTTCTGAGCCTGCCGTCCTGCTATTGTATCAGGTGGACTTGGTGGTGGTGGTTGATAAGTGCCTTTGAGTTGGTTCTGGCTCGTAGCGACTCTGTTCACTAGAAGGAAACACTGCCAGCCCTCACAAGCACTACAGTTGCAGCCCGTGTCAGTCCTCCTCACTGAGGGTCTTCCTCTTCTCTGCTTGATCATGGAGCCCTGGCACCATAGTGGTTACATGCTGGGCTGCCAACTGCCAAGGTTGACAGTTTGAATCTACCAGCTGCTCCATGGGACAAAGATGAGACTTTCTGCTCCTGTAAAGATTTACAGCCTTAGAAACCCTGTACAGGGTCGCTGTGAGTCGGAACCAACTCAACAGCACATCACCGCCTATTTGACCAAGCATGATGGCCTTCTCCAGGGACTGGTCCCTTCAAATAGCCTGTCCAAGATTTTACATGAGGTGAAATCTCGCCCTTCTAAGGAGCATTCTGGCCATACTTCTTCCAAGACAGACTTGGTTGTTTTTGTTGTTGTTATGTGCCGTGGAGTTGGTTCCGACTCACAGCGACCTTGTACAGGGCTTCCAAGGCTATAAATCCTCATCTTGCTCCTGCGGAGCGACTGGTAGTTTCAAACTGCTGACCATGAGGTTCACAGCTCTATTCGTAACCACTACGCTACCAGAGCTCCTAAGACAGACTTGGTAGTGAGGTTAAATTAGAAATCCACAATTTTGGTATTTCTGTAGACACCCTCTCCCATAAACACTTGGTGGTGGTGGCTTGGCTTGGTCACTGATGTGGTCAGTAACCCCAGAGCCACGTCACAAGACATGACTCAGAAGCTACCTGACCTCTCCAGTGCCCATAGTGGTCAGTGTAGTCTCCTGGCGCTGAAATTGGGTGTGTGCAGGGCCAAAGGTTACCAGCGAAGGAGCTCCCAGGGTTCCCAACTCAGATGAACTTCTTGCCTAGATGAAAGCACTCAAGTCTTTGGCTCGCTGCTACCGCCCCGCCCACTTTAGTCATCCCAAAGTGGGAATTTTCCGAAGCTCTTCCCAGGAGGTGGATAAGCCAAGGTGTCCACACAGTCAGCAGAATGTCCGGGGTTGCTACAGAAAGAGATGCTGGGCAGTGGAGGGGGAGGGACGACGTCTTGCTGGGTGGCCAAGCGTGGGCTGCTGAAGGAAGGTGCTGGGCTGGTGTGTGCTGCAGAGCAGTTTCCGAGCTGGCAGCCGGGTTTGTGAGTCATCAGCCCGAGGGCAGAGCTGGTCACTGGGAGGGGCTGGCCTCCACATTCCCAGGAGCTCCTGTGGGCAGCTGAAGGCTTTCCTGGCATAGCCACACATAGAGGTAAGGACCTCCTGGTGTGGCGTTACAGGATTAGCACCGGACTGTGAACGGCAAAGTCAGCAGTTCAAACCCACAAGCAGCTCCTTGGGAACACTAGGCAGTGTCCCTATGAGTCACGACAGACTCTACAGCACTTAACAACATCTCTATACAATGCCGTGGAGACCAGGTCCTGCATGAGGTCAAGTCCAAATCCTTTACCAGCCCTGGGGTCACTGGGAACCCCGAATGTGCTCAGACTCTCTGGGACTGAGCTTGGCCACACAGCAGGCGGGAGAAAGCAAAGACTGAGACGTGGTTTCCTCAGTCACCCCCACCGTGGGCGTGGGCCTCTGTCTTTGTGATGTGTGCTGTGTGTATACAAGGGAGGTTCAAACCTGTTGTGGAACGCTTCCCTTATCTTGTCATTCTATGTTTCCATAACTTCTTGAAGCCTACTTAAATGTGTGTGTGTGCATGTGGTCTGTGTCTGGTGTGTGAGTATGTATGGGTGTATCTGGATGTATGTAGCATGTCTATGTGTGTGAATGGTGAATGGGTGTGAATGGATACATGGTATATATGTGGCTGTGCATGTGTGTGTGTATATGATGTATGGGTATGTGTACTGTGTGTCTATGTTGTGTGGGTATGTCTGAGTATGTGCGGTGTGGTTCTGTGTGTGATGTGTGTGTATGGTACATGTGTCAGAGTGTGTGTGATTGTATGTGTCTGTGGTATATGTGTATGTGTGTGGAGTTTGTGTATGTGGTGTATGGATGTGCCTGTGTGTGTGTGGTGTGTGTGTGTGTGTGTGTGATGCATGGATATGCTTGCGTTTGTGTGTGTATATAGAATATGGGTGTGACTGTACATGGTATTTGTGTGTGTATATTTGTGTATGGTGTATGGGTATATCTGTGTGTCTGTGTGCATCTGTGTGATGAAGTGTCTGTGTATGTGGCTACAGTGTGTCGGTGTATCCGTGTGTCTGTGTGATGAGGTGTCTGTGTATGCGGCTACAGTGTGTCGGTGTATCCGTGTGTCTGTGTGATGAGGTGTCTGTGTATGCGGCTACAGTGTGTCAGTGTATCCGTGTGTCTGTCCAGGTCTGTGTGATGAAGTGACTGTGTAGACTAGGGCAGGAGGAAACTACTAGAGAATCTTTAGCAGCAGATGGAATTTATGCAGAAAGCCCAGGCTTCCTCCTGTAATCAAATCATATCGGCATTAACAAATGAAAGGAAAACCAGCGGTGAATGAGAGCAGCTCTTCAGTTGAGGAATCAAGGCTGAAGATTGCAGGAAATGTCTCTGTAAACACAGCATGCTGAGCTAAGGGGCTCTGGAGATGGTCCTGATGGCACCAACCTGAGTAACTCATGGTGACGAGAGTAACAGCGGACGGGCAGCTTTAGAACAATCCTGTTGTTGTTGTTGTCAGGTGCCATCGAGTCGGAACCGACTCATAGCGACCCCATGCACAGCAGAACGAAACAATGTCCGATCCTGGGCCAACCTCACTACCACCGCCACACTTGAGTCCATCAATGATGCCACCTGGCTGATCCATCTCGTTGGGGGTCTTCCTCTTTTTCTCTGACCCTCCATCTTACCAAGCATGATATCCTTCTCCAGCGACTGTTCCCTCCTGACAATATGTCCAAAGTATGAGTGACAAAGTTTAGCCATCTTGGCCTCTAAGGAGCACTCTGGCTGCCCTTCTTCCCCTGACCCTTAGATTTGGAGGAGAAATTACCAGCCTTCCTGAGGGGTTTGGGAGGCTGCAGGACCTTGTGGTGAAAAGTGGGGGTGGGGGGTGGGGGAGGGAGGAGAGCATGTGACCTAACAGCTGTCTTCACCTTCTCCCTTTCGTCTGTTTTGGGACAGGGGCCTCATGTGAGCTGTGTACTTTAGCAGAACCTGTCATGTTATATCATGAGACGTACAATGTTTCCATGTGCACACTCTAACCCCCACGGGACACCCTAAGAGGCAATCAGAGTATCAGCACACGGGTGTAGATGGAGAGAGACTGCGGGCTGGAAGCCTGTCCAGCATGAGGCACAGACTTGTGGGACTGACCATGCTGCTTCTCCAGCTTGAAGGCACGCTCAACCCAGAACAGTGTGATGAAGATAAGTAACTGCCCGGAATACAGGGGTTTTTGTGAAAGAAAATCTGATTTTAATAATCACATCATTTGGCAGTCTAGAGTGATTCCCCATACACACATTCCCTGAATGTACAATGGGCCCCCAATCCTGCTGTGATCCAATTATAACACGGGGCAGGGTCGGGCTGTCACGTGGGAACTGGGAAGCACCCCACCCCCCCAATACTGAGGCCACATCCGAGCCCCAGGACACTAGGAAGCAGGGAAGGGACTTGCATTTGTCTAAGCTTTCTGGGGGCCAGATCTGAGGACATTCAATTTATACCCATTAAGTCACATCCTGGAGATATCAGCCACACATCAAAACAAACCAAAAAGCTATTTTTTTGTTTTGTTTTGTTTTTTTACAAAAACACTGGCAGACTCGGCCTTGAAGTAAGTAATGTCTCAGTCCCGTGTCTTCAATTGTGCCCACCGTCCCCACATTTCCTCCTTATCCAGTCTCCTCACTGACCATCCCTACCTGTCACCTGAGCACACAGCAGTGTGGCCCCAGGAGGGAGACTTGAGGCTTCTTCCCAGGCCCTGTGGCCCTAGGTCACCTCCCAGAGGAGGAAAAGCTGGCACGAAGTGTGATGCGAAGGCAAAGCCCCTGTCCAGGGCGCAGGAGGGATGGCACTGAGCACCTCATTGTGACCTTCCTGTCTGAATGCCAGACGCTCAAGAGACAGTCATGCTCTCTGAACTGCCCTCCAGTCCTTGGAACGGCCCTAGCACAAAGGAGCTTGCTGACCAATGGAGGGCGTAAAGTCCCATGTGAAGCTGTAAGAAACTTTCATCTCTGCTACCTTTGTCTCAGTGGCACCATCAGTTCTGGGGTTCCAGGGCTCAAGGCCCCAGTGAGGATGATGGAGTCAGAACACACATAGGTGTGACATTTAGGAAACACCATCGGGTGGTCTCAAGCTCCTTTGTCTGGTTCAGAAGGGAGAAGAGCCCCCACCATGGCCTCTCCTCTTCTGTCTCCACACCTTCCCTCGTGCTCCTTTCAAAAAAAGAAAACAACTTAGGGGACAATAAACTACTGTCCCTAGTTCTGGAAACAGAAACACCCCACAACTTTTCCCTTGATTCTACCCCTGGGGGGCAAGGGGCCCTTCCCGAATTGCAGGGAGATCAAGGACTACAGGGTGGGTTCGATGGGACCCTCATGGAATGCCCAGGATGATGTCCAGCAGTGGGCCAGCTGAGTGGACAGAAGGGAATCACATAGGCTCTCGAGTTGGGAGTCATGGCTCACAGGCCGACCCCAAGGGTCAACGGATTCACTACTTATGGGAGATATTCAACTGCTTATCCACCAAGAAAGAAAACAACAAAATGGCGTACAACATTCAGAAGCAATGCGGGCCACCTTTTCTTCAGGACCACCCAGCAGAGGTAAGGAGGACGTGTTGTCCAGTCCCACAAAGTCCACACGTCAAGAGAGTCTACAGTCCCTCCGACCCTTGGGCGGTACCTGACCCTGCAGAGGCAAGGTCTCTTCTGGCAGCAGCCTGTCCCACTAGGGGACAAAGCTGTTCTTGTTTTCACCTCTGGCCTCATCCCGAGTGGCGGCCTGGTCTTGGGGGACAGTCAACGGTCCCATTCCGGAAGGCCTGGCCCCTGAAGGACCTGGGGAAGGCTGTCCGTTCACAGTCTGGTCGTAGGGAGCCGGGAAGAGATCATCAGAGAAGAAGCCCTCAGCCCCCGAGGGGTGGCCCAGAGCCTGTGTGCAGAATGGGCTGGGTAAAGGCTGCTCAGGTGGGCAGGGGTGACTCCAGGGCATGGGACCTGTGGACCCGGAGGGGGAGGAAAGAAGGCATGAGACAGGCTGGGAGAGTTCAGCAACCCCCCCCCCCCCCCATGTTTCTGACCAAGGAGCCTGCCTCCAGCCCCCAGCAGGTTCTCCCCTCCAGGCGAGCTAGCACAGAGAGCTACCTGGAGCAAACACACTCCAGGACCGAAGCTCGGAGACTACCTCTCAGGGGCCGAGGGGCAGAACCCGTAACAAACCTTTGTCTCCTGATACCTGGGGTTCCAGAGTTCAAAGCCCCAGTGAGGATGATGCTCCTAAGTTCTCTCTAGTCTGCATGCTGTTCCTAACCCTGCCAGCCCTCTGCATCTAAGGAATACTGTCTTCATTCCCGTATCTCTGAAACGGACGCTCAGAGAGCCCAGGCCAAACTGCAGCCCTCTGTTTCCACAGCTCAGGCCCCCATGTCTGTCCTCCTCACATACCTTCCAGAACACTCACCCATGGTTCTGGTAGACGGCTGCAGCAGGACCTGCCCCGAGGGGGGACCTGGGAAGTAGCCCTGGGCCGGGCCCCTGTGAGGGCCGTAGGGACCTGGGAAGAGGATGTCCTCCAGTGGGGGTGGCGTCAGTGTGCTGGGTGTGGGGAAGGAGAAGGGGTGCAGGTATGAGAACAGGGGCTGGGATGCAGGGGGGAATGGGAATGACCCCTGTTGATAGCTTGGCTGGTGGTCCTGAGGCTCCAGCTCCTCCAGGTAAGGGCAGGAGGGTGGCGGGGTGATGCTGTGAGACAGAAGGGCGTGGTGAGGTTCAAGTTCACCTCCACAATACAGCATCAGCTGAGCCCCTTCTGCTCCCTGCACCCCTCCCCCTCTTCCTGTACCCCTCCTCTTCTCTCCCTGCACCTTGGTCCATCACCATAGCAACCCAAGGTTGTGCTTCCTCTTCTTCCCAACCTCTGCACCTCTATGCCAACCCTTCCCTTCTGAAGCGCCCCCCACCCCCACTGTCCAGCTCAGTACCTGGTCCCCCAGGAGCCACAGGGGCCTTCCCTGAGGCAGCCGTCACTGCCAGGGGCATCCAATAACAGAGGCATCAGCTGTGGGGCTTGGACAGGGCCAAGCGGAAAAGGCAGGCTGGCCCTGCGAACCGGTGGGGGGCTGAAGAGTGGGGGTGTCAGAGCCATCCAGTGAGCAGCCTCGCAGGGTAGGGTGGGATCTGGGAGCCTGTTAGGGTCCAGTTGCACAGGGGACTCTGGGAACAGAAAACAAGGGTGAGGAGGGGGCAGGTGGAGGGGTAAGGGGGAGAAGGTGGGAGGGGGAGAAAGCAGAAGGGAGAGGCTACTTGGGATTAGATGGCCAGTGGCAGGCAGTTTCGCCCAGGCCTTCAGATGGAACCTGGGACATTTTCCTGACCGCCTTCACAGTGGCCAGTCCTCTGGAGGTGGTCAACTGACCTGGACGAGCATCATGAAGGAGCTCCTGTGACGAGGTACCAGATCCTGGACCCAAGGACCCTTCAGGTGGGGGCTGGGCATCTGTGGAGCTGGAGGCAGAGGGGTGAAGGACAACCCCATTGGGGCCTGGCTCCTGATCCCCGCTAGGTTCCCAGCACCGCCCATAGGCCTTGACTGTTACTCAGCTCTGCCCCACCTCAGCCCCTCAACTCCTTACCAACACTCCCTCCTTTTATACTCAACTGGACCCCGTGCCCCATAGGGCGATGGAGACAAGCAGGGTGTCTTACCTGCCCTGTCCACCTGTGGGGGCGGGGGCTTCAGGACTTGCCCTGTCCCCCTTCCCATTCACCTTCTCCACCCGACGCCACTTGGCCCTGCGATTCTGGAACCACACCTGTGGGGCAGGGGGCGCACCTGAGGAGACTGGAGAGGGCTGGCCTGGCTTGGGGCACAGAGCTGCTAGCTGGCCTCACAGGAAAGACCCCACCCAGCTGCTCCCCTCTCCCATACCATGATGCGCTGTGGGGCGACCCCCACTGAGTGGGCAATCTCCCGGCGTTTGTCACTGTCAGGGTAGTGGTCTTCTTGGAATGCCTTCTCCAGCTCCTCCAGCTGGTCTGGAAGAAGAGGACTGGGGTGTGGGGAAGGCACAGCAGCTGAGGCCCCTCCCATGGGGCCTGCCTCTCCGGGGCTTATTGGCAGAACCATCCATGTGTTCCAACCTCCCTGAATTAGCCAGACAGACCTTCACCTCCGCCTCAGACTGATGGCGCAGCCCAGGGACTTATAGACCAGCTGTGCCCCCAGCTCAGGGGCCACCATCCGTGCATTAGAAGACGTCTTCTTGCCTTCAGGGACATACCTGAGCGGTACAGGGTCCGAGTCTTCTTCCGCACCTGACAGGACACCTCTGGGGGCCCCTTTTTCCGGCCCGAGTCCGGGCTGTCTGGTGCCAGTGTATTGAGGAGATTGCCCAGGTGGCAAGAACCACGGCCCAGCCCACAGGGCACTGGGTGGTGGGGAGCTGGGCCTGAGGAGGGGCCACAGGAGGACCCTGCTACTGCCAGATCCCGGACTTTTGACCTCTTCTGCTGGCCAGGGGTGGGAGAAGCCTGTCTCCTGGAGGGTTTGGTCTCTCTGCCCTGCAGGGAGCGTCCTGTCCCCCGAGACTGGGAGCCCACTAGCTCTACAGCCCTGTCTCTGTGGGCTGGGGGACACTGTCTGGCCCCTGAGCTGGGGGGCTGAGATCTTTGCCCAGCATCAGACCCTGGGGGGGCTCCAGATGCCTCAGGGGACAGTTCCTCTCCCACAGCATCCTGGGGCAGCAATCCCTGCAGTTGCCGCTCATTCTCCGGTCCAGCAGCCAGCAGTCTGGGTCCTGTATCCCTGCCTTTGGGAGAAACATTGCTGCCCTTAGCCAGGGGGGACAGCTCCCTGTAACCTTCCCTTCTCCCAACTAGCACGCAGACCCTAAGTCCTAGCTGGGCTGCTGTGAGAGAAATGTAAACGCATACACGTGACTATGAGGAGGTCTTAGCTCACACACATGGAACAAAGGAGGAAAAACCAGGACCAGTGACCCCGTGAGTATCAGAGTACAACTGCACTGGTTTTAGGGAAGATTGCCAGATGCACTGGAACCCCCAGCCAAGAGCTAAACTGTTTGCACCACCAGGGCCTCCAGTGCATATGGCAGTCATTCTAATTTGGAGTACTAACTCCCTGCTTTCCCCAGGCCCTCCGGGTGAAGGGTGGGCATTCTACAAGTGTTTCTGGGGAACACACGGTGGTGCCGTGGATACAGAGGAAAGACTGCCTGGGATGGGGGTCCCCACCCCTCTACACAAGTATCTCTCTCTGTCCACCAGCCCTGTCTGCACAGGGGGCTTCCTTAGGGGTCCGGGCAGCAACTGTGGGGAAGGAGAGCCCGCCAATCTCCTGCATCACTCACCCTTTCTTTTCAAGTCCTGGCTAGGTGCTGACGCCCCCCATCCCTGGCCGCCCCCCAGCAGAGGAAGCACGAGGACTAGCCAGGTGACTGACCTGCCACAGGCCCCCTGCACAGAGCCCCTTTACTAACTAGCACCCCAGACCCCCCATTGTGGGGGTGGGGGCTATCATTTCAAGCTAAGTCAGAATAGTTGAAAATGGACTCTAGGATGGATCTAAGGTATTAAGGCAAGCTTCCTATCAGTGTGGATTTCAGACCCCGAGCCGGAAAGGTGAAAGGTCACGCACTAGGTGCTCCTCAAAGCCTGGAGGGTGGGGGACACAGCGGCTGTGGGGTGTAAAAGACAAAGGCTATGTCCTGATAGCATGCTGGAGGGAGTCATGTGCCCTCAGAGGTCCAGGCCCAGCGGCCCAGATGACAGGAGATCTTAGCCCCTAAGAGGAGGAGAGCGGCCTGACCTCCCCCGCCTCCGGACGCACCCCCCCCCCCCCCGTCCCGGGTCCCCCGGCCCCAGCGCTCACCCCGCGGCTCCTCACTGGCGCGCCCCGCGGGCTCCATGGCCTGGACCGCCGGCAGCGCCCGTCGGCGCACAGGCACGGCCTAATGAAGGCACGGGCAGGAGCTGTGGACAGGTGGGCTGGTGGGCGGGGGGTCGGGGCTGGGGCAGGTGTGCGCAGCGGCCGGCGGCCCGTGAGGTCGGGGCCGGGAGGCGTCGGGCAGCCCCCGGGGAGCCCTGCGCACGGGCCAGGTGCGGGCTGATCAAGGCGAGGGCCCACTCCGCCCCCGCTCGCGGCTGGGGGTCCACGGTGAGGCCAAGGGGGCCCGCTGGAGCCCACGTCTGAACCGCGGAGGCGCCCCCACGTACAGGGCTGCCCTTGAACCTCGGGGAGAAGGAACCCCACTTCCAGGAGGCCTGCGCGGAGCTGCGCCTCGGTGCTGAAGAAGAAGAACGCGCGGAGGACTCGGGAGCGAGGTAAGTGGCGACCGCAGAGGGCAGGGGCTTGTCTCTGGGCACTCCCCATTTGATGGGATGAGGCTCTCCCCAGGCTGGGGGGTCTCTGAGCGCTGTGTCTTTGCTACCTAGTTCATGGAAGGGCTTTTACCTTTCCCTACAATTTTAAATTAGAAATAACAAGTTAAATTTTCCTTGCCCCTTCCTTACTTGGACAGTGAGTGGGTGGGGGTGAAGGGTGCGGGTGTGCCCAAACTGCAGCAGGTGCTGGAAGCTGGGGGTGGGTGGGCGATCTAAACAGATCCCAGGTGTTCTGAGTTAGGATTCAGGGACTGGACACCACGTGTTTCTCGTGCAGTAATCACGGCGGTTGGCGTTTTCTCCGAGGGCTCGCAGTCCTGCCCGTGTGGATTGGATGGGGTTGGGGTGCGGGGCTTTAGGAGGGCACATACTAAAGATCAAGGAGGGGTGAGTTATAGCAGCTTCATCAGCAGGGCCCAGGGAGCTCCAAGCCTCTGGTGTTTGGTTTCTGACACCAGTCTATGAAAAACTGCTGCTACCTGTTGGGATCCTGCTCAGCGATCCTACAAAATGGAGTCAAACTTTTCCTTAGAGTTTCTGAAACTGTAGATCTTTATGGGAGCAGACAGCTACATCTTCACACACCCCCACCCCCACCGCAGGAGTGGCTGATGGGTTTGAACTGCCGACTTTGCTGTTAGCAGCCCAACACTTAACCCACTGAGGGATGTGGAAATGGGGCCTGGGGTCTCATCTAGAAATGGAACATTCTAGGCCAGGGGAACGATGTCTCAGGGGGCAGTGAAGTGAAAACTCAGGTCCTTGGAAGGTGACATGTTTGGGACTGGATCAGGAGGGTCAGTGGTCAGCTGAAAGGCAAACACCAGGAAGGCCCTGGGAAGTCCAGAGGGTGTTCTGGTTTAGCATGTCCATGGTCCCTGGTGTGCACCACACTTGAATGGACCTCTCTGAAACTGTGGTCGGGTGGCCGTTGGATGTGTAGGTAGTACTGTGAAGACCAGTGGTACCTAACCCTGGATTAGGCGGAGCGGCCTGCTGAAGGCCAAACTCGCCCTGCCACACCTCTGCTGGCTTCCCCATAGTGGTGACCAAGCCAATGTTCCGCCACATCAAAGACATGTGAAAAACGCAAGAGCAGAGACATGAAGACAGCCTGGACCTCCATCCACAGAGAAATGGTTGAACTAACTTTGGTTCATACACACAATAGACTATTGTACCACATTGATGAATAATGCTGGATAACGTGATGCGGAGGAACATGGAGGACATGATGCTAAATGAAATTAGCTTGTCAGAGAGGGACAGATATTGTATGAGACCACCACTGTACAGAATCCAGAAAAGGTTTCTGTTCTGTAATAAACATTCCATGGTGGTGACCAGGGGTGGGAGGGAAGAGAGAAAGAAAGGGGGGTGAAAACAGGACTTGAGAAACACGTGAAACCATTCACTGCGGATTAGTAGGTAAGCCTATGCTTATGTTGCTTACTGGGCACTCCACCCCTGTCAGAGATGGGCAGTTTGAAAAGAGACTTTGATTTTGTGGGCCAGGGAGAGAGGGGTGCCGGCCCGATGGAAAAACAGAGTCTTTGCTGGAGTGAAGATGTGTGACGTGTTCACTCCAGATTAGCAATAAGCACCAGCTGACTGGTGCTTACTTAACCTTCCGATGCTGCCAGCACACCCAGGCAGGAAACTATTGTTCGTTGAAGAGATTTGCTCCAGTTGCCGGGACCAGAACTTGTTGGCATTGGAATTGCTTGGTGCCGGGAACCAGTGGTCGTGGAGTGGCCTCTGGCCCACAGCACCTCACGTGTATCAGAGTAAACTGTGCTTCGTGGAGTGTTCAGTGGTGCTTTTTCAGATGTAGGTTGGCAGACCTTTCTTTCGCGACTCCTCTGGGTGGACTCGAACCTTTACTCTTGTGCTTAACACTGAGTTTTTACTGAGGAGCCTTCAGCAGTGGAAGGCAGGATGTGATGCATTTCTTAATATTGACCTGAGGAATGATCATCCTCTCAGGGCTGAGGGGCTCTGTAGGATACACACTGGACTGCAAACCACAAGATCGTGGGTTCGAGCCTACTCGCCACTCCACAGGTGAAAGATAAGACTTTCTGCACCCCCCAAAGATTTACAGCTTAGAAACCCTAAACAAATACAGGGCCTCCATGGCTGGGGCTTGGATGGTCAGTGATGTTGTGCTGGGACAGGCTAGAAAAACAGACTCGGGTCTTTCCTAGGCTGACCTCATCCTCATAGCGAATTTTGAAAAACATGGGTCTAATTGATGGTGGCTCTGTGGGTTAAATATTGGGCTGCTAATCACAAGGTTAGTGGTTCAAACCCACCAGCCATTCTACAGGAGACAGAGAGACAGCCCCCTCCTGTAAAGTTGCCCAGTCTCAGAAACCCTAGGGTGCAGCTTTGCTCTGCCCAATAGGGTCTTGGGCGAGCTCAAGCGGGGGAAGGATCAGAGCAGCCATGGACGCCTGACAGAACCATGGAGATACAGGTGTGGACATTCTTTTTTGGTAACTGTTCATTGGTATCTCACTGTCTGCACACCTCCATTCTAGGTACTAGGGGGGATGCCTGAGTGAGTAGACACCCCAGCCCCACCCCTGGAGGGTTGTACTATGCATGTACACATAGATCTCCTTGAAATTTAAAGTGACAGTTTCCACTTAAAACCAAACGGTGAGTTTGTCGTACTGTGGTGGCTTGTGAGTTGCTGTGATTCTGAAAGCTATGCCACTGGTATTTTATTTTTTATTTATTTAAGTTTTATTGTGAATTATG